ATCTCGGCTAGATCAGCAAAGGTTTCTGGAATGTTGATGAGAGCCTGAAAGTAAGCCATGCCATCAATTGAAGCTTTTATCTCTTCATTGGTTCATGAAATTTTGTGTTTTTAAGAATAAACCTATCTTGTACGAAAGTATTATAGGCAGCTTTTCCCAGGCAATCTACCTTGAGTAAATTTTTTCCGCCGGTTCAGGTACAGGTCTTCCAGATGATAAACAGAACCGGCTATCCTTGTCGTTTACTTCAAATGGATTGATATATTGCGCGATAGCTTCAATTACCTTCAAAACACATACCATGATGAGCGGAATCTGATATGTGTAACATTTCTGCTTTTTCTAATGTCAACTCTACGTATTTAGCACGTTCATTCCTTGTAACACACCATCGTGCATATGCCCATAAATTTCTGCTAAAACGCACTACGCCGCCAGTGCATTTCGCATATCGATTAATTGTCTGTTCTATTGTAATGGCAACAGCATTTCTGGAACCGGGAACTTGTGATCTACAGACACTAAAACTATTTTTGCGAAGTAAGTCTTCAGCTCCAGGGTGTGTTCTTTGCAGGTTCAAAAGAATGAGCGTAGAGATTACAGGATACCTAGCACAATTGTGGTGGTCACATGCAAAGAAAAGAGGAATCATATCTTCCAAACATGCCTCTGTAGTGCTTCCATCATTATCTTATGGACTCTCATAGCTTTGTTATAATGTTTTCCCGACATTACTTTTGCAATAGAACCACTTGCACATATTCCTTATTCAATTAAAACATCTTCAAAGCCAGAGCCACTCATCAATTTACCTAAGCAGCCAAAATAACAGCAGGTGGTATGAAAAGCGCCAACGTTAATGATTACGTCTGGAATTTTTTTGGTATGCCATTGCACAGCATAAGCTTTGATGGCCACCGCCAAATCTAGTGTAACAAATGTATAAGACTGTCCAGTTTTTTCTGTTGCCTTTTGCGATTGTGTCAGGATTTCTTGAATAGTGGAATATTCTGTAATTGATGTCATGTAACCTAGAGTTGAAGGTTTCTGTTCACCTTTAATATTTGATGTTTCTAAAACCCATCCTGATTATCCAGGCACGTGGTATGTTTTGTTAAATCTTGCTCTGCACCATAATCAAAAGAAATTAGAAAGTGTAGAATTATTAATGAAAGCTTTGCTCACACAAGTTGTTATTGTAACGTCGATATCGTGGTCAGGGTGCTTTTGAATAAAACAAGGTTCAAGATCTCTCTCCACAAATTTGACAGTACGTTTGTTTCGTTCTTGGTACATCACTGCTACTACTCAATATTTGCATATCAGTACTTCTTTCTTGAATCATAATCCCATGTGTTGAATGAGTTATCCCACTACCTGATGGAGTTTCTTCATTTAGATCGGAGTTGTCCCAATATAAGTGCGACACAATGTTACCTGTTGTGTAGATATATTAGAAGGAAGAAGTTTTGTGAGTAGCACACACAATGGCCATATCTGTTTACCAAAGTTATCAGTTCTGCACTTCCTGTAAGGTGCCTTATGGTTATTCCTAAACTCAAATGCTTCGCCATTTTCCACTTACCATAGTACCATAGTAGTACTATAGCACAAATCCTGTGCAAAAGAATTCACTATGCGCTCAACTTTGTCGGCAGCGTGCAATGGTTTTTCGACAAAAATTCACACAGGCCTTCGTTTCATCTGATGCGAGAAATTCGGCTGAAGGAAGCCAAGGCATTTTGTTATATGCCTGCTGGATATGTCGTCTCAAAATCATTGCAACCTTTTGTACTCTTCGTATCTCTGATTACGCAGCTCCAAATGCAGTTTCTATGGCTTCTCCTGGTTTTATCCATGACGAGTACACAAGTTCTCTTTGGTAGTTTGGCTGCCAGCATTGAACTAAACAAACACTCTGGAACGGGCGCACTGCTTTATGCTAGTGTGCCGAATTTTGATATATGCAACCCAGCAAGACAGAGGGATTGTTGTCTCGCTCGCACTCATTGCGATTAACGTAAAAGAAAGAAGAGCTTCTTCATCTTCCTAACCTCAATGATCCAAACACTTCAAATAGCTGTTCTCAATAGCCGCCATAGTGCAGAGAGAGATGCAAATCCCTCTTGTTTGTTGTCCTTCCTGGCACAAACCCTTGCGTTAGAATCATTATGCAGCCACCGTTCCAGTGTCTTTGTTCAGTTCATTGGCTGCCAGAAGGTATACGGTTGCCAAAATGGTGTATTAGTTTTTCTTTTAATTTGTCACTTTTATAATTTTCATTATAAAATTCTGGTAGTTATACATTCAACGGTACCATTAACAAGGATGCTTTCCTGAACATAGTTCTTTAAATGTTTAAATGCTTCTCTATGAGCCTGCGCAAGTGATTCGCTTTCTGGAGCGGCATGGAGTCGCCTATCCGGAAGTCTTGTGTATTCCTTACGACTTAAAAATATGTCATCTGATTTTGCTTTTGCAGCTTCGATATTTTTGTAACACATTTGGTAGGAAATTCGTACGTCTTCGAAGAAATCCATTTTTGATTTCTGTCACAAAAACTACAGCTATCACTCGGAATAGCTATTTTCCTAACGAGTGCCGGAAATTTCTTCCCGCAAGAGTTAGGAACTATATTTTTTCTACGAGCATACTAAAGCTGATGTACGAGAAGTTTAATTTAAATAAAATGCGATTGTGCAGAAGGTAGAATTTAAAATGCATTGAAAGGTATTTATAAAAAAAAGGTAAAAGTATTAAAGGTAAAGGTATAGGTGTATCAACAATACAAACAATTCCATGGCACAATGATTATTTCAAAATCAAGAAAGTGTTCCCGCACAGCAAATCGTGCGGGAAGAGCCATTTTCCGTACGCTCGTAGAAAAAGACATTTGTTGTAGGAACCGTAGATCTGCGGCTTCCCTTGGATGTTGATGGTTCACATTTATTGCCTGATAGCGGTACACGTTTTGTAATTTTTGATATCTTCGTAAATTTCTGATGACACCAGCACAAGCGATGATAAAAATCATTGTCTTCATCGGGGTCCTCTGGCACTTGTCTAATACACAGTTGCCAGTCTATTACTTTCACTCAATTCTCTTAGTCGCACTTCAATTTACTCACGAACTTTTTGGAATGATTGAGCGGATAATGATTGATGAATATTGTCTGATTTGTTTTCATCAAAATACATAATGCATCTCGTCTTTTGTGATATTGTTAATGCTTTAGGTCGCTTAAGACTTAACGGCTTTTCGTCACAAATGAATTGAGGGGTATATACGAGTCTTCGCTCTATTACTGCATGAGAGATTTGAAGTAAATGCTGTGCTGTCAAATCAACATCTTGTTAGTAGCAGAGTTGTCTAGGGTTCGGTCATGGGCCCTTTGCTTTTCACATCTCATTGAATCTAAAATGAAGAACGCAGATGATGGAAAGCTTTATACAAATCCGCTAGTACATGCAGGGCAGCTAAGGGCTGACCTAAAAACTGTTGAAGAATGGTCAACGGATTGGAAAATGAAGTTGAATGATTCTAAATGGACAGTCTTAAGAATTGGTCCCAACAATCCAAACGTAGAATACGATTTTAACAATGTGACATTACAATGTGTGACAAATCAAAATGACCTTAGAGTCATGATAACTTCAGACCTGAAATGGGAGGACCACATTATAAATATTGCCAAAAAAGCCAATTCGTTAAACAAACTTCTTTAAACAAGCATTTAAGAACCACTTCATAGGAATGATAGGCAAACTGCATAAAAGTTACATACGACCAAAACTCTTGAATACCTATACGCTTTCTCAGAGTGGAATCCCTATGTCAATGATATAGAAGTTCTAGAAAAGATACAAAAGCGAATTACAAAAATACCACCAGAACAATGAGACCTTCCATACACAGAGAGCTGACAAGACTAAAACTAACAACTTTAGAGGAGACTTAATCGAAAAATACAAAATAACCAGTGACTACTATAATTGCAATATCAGAGAAATGTTTGTACAAAACCAAAATTATCTTCGTGGAAAACTCCAAGAAACTCGAAAAAGGAAAAACCGCAAAACTGCCTAGAAGAAACTTCCTGAGCAGCAGAGTTGTTTATTCAGGAAACGCCCTGGAAGAGCAGACAGTGTCATCACGAAGTGTCAACGCGTTCAAAAATAGACTAGACAAAGAACTCGAGTATACTGTAAGAATGATACCTACACTACAGTGCATTATAAAAGTTCTCAATATACATACAAGAAAAACAGATTTTTCAACGCAGCAATAGCTTCATTGGTTTTACCGTCTGCTATTGGACAAATTACATGATTACATTATTTTTCTTTAATTAACTATACTCAAGAAATATAAAGGCTGGTATTAGATGTAGGTGTACTATAAAAATCAAGTGCTAAATTAACGTAATTAGCAAAAACTAAAATGGATTTGAATTGAAGCTTAAACGTTATGCATGCGTGTGATGTTTTGACATTTTTACTGGGAACACTTCGCTTTTGGTTTAAAGTGGGGCTTTAAACGGGTCGAAAAAACGGCTGTCATCATAGGTCTTTGAAAAAATCGGAGCGACATCAGCGTATGAAATAAATAAATTTTATGGCGCGAAGTGGATGGGAATATAAATTACATTAAATTAAATTTTCGGTTTATATGGCTCGTGAAATGTACGATAAAATGTGATTTATTTGGTAAAAAGCAAATTTTTCCAACGCGGGATCGACAATTTTTTTTTACTCCGGCAATCGACATTTTCGATAATGAGCATAAATCAAAAACTTGATATTTAGGTCTCTACGCATACCCGATATTGGTTTTTATCTTATCTCAACTCTGCAAATAAGTACCTGTGTATTTGAAAAAAAAAATACAAAATCTTGTATTACACCTAAGTTTGTCTCCTTCCTAATGACACGCATATATATCTGTCCCAAATAATTTCTAAAACCCGATATTTCTATTGTAGAAATCCCAAAGTTCTTACCACATCGATGAGCTGAGACAACTTCAAGCCCATTTTCACAGTCAACCGATCCGAATTATTTCCAACTGGTCTAATAAGCCTGTTGTAGTTACTCAAAAGGTCATCGTACAGTCTCTTCGCATCGGGATTGGCATCTAGAAAACCTACTGGCCCCGCCGTTAGTACGAGCAGGGCTGCTAGCAGGCACTCCATTGAGCAATCTGGAAAAAAAATAGAAAAAAGTAATTAATAATTTCTGGCAACTGTATCAACGAATTTTCATGGGGCTAAACACTATTAGCGAGTTTAATTACTGTGGCTTTGCATCGATAATTAGTATGGTTTTGCTAAATTAGTGAAGCCAAAATTGTATTTCGATTTGTATAATGGTAGTGCTGATGAGAAGTTAAATACCTAAAAAATATTTAAACGAAAATGGGCATCAAATAGGACTAGTTTAAGTGCACTCTTCTTATCCAGACGACAATATAATTGGATGTCCTAACAGACTACCTACTAAAGACTAAGCAGATTTCTAAGAAGTTTTTGGAAAACTCCACTTCATCCGAATAAATTCATATTATTTAACAGGCGTATGTAACAGTTCTGGACAAAAGATAAATATATTTGCTTGAGTAAGTGAAAACTCTCAAAAAAAAACAAAAGCAGACACTCATCTTGGTGTTGCTACTGACTAGAATGAACAGAGACCATTGTTACCTATGCGTCTTTACTTTATTGATTAATTTAAAAATTCACACTTTATTCCATTATTCGTAAATATTTGGTGCAACTTTAAAGTGAGTTGCTGAAAGTCTGCTGAATTTATATCCGGCCGATAGATTTAAAGCCACAACTCTGTGTTGAACAGTTTACTGCATCTACATAGTTGGGAAGCTCGCATGGAAATTTTCCAAACAACTTCGAATCGGTTTTCCGAGCTCGTATTTATCCCGAAACACACTATGATTAAATAATAATCTGACTCATAAAATAGCTTCCAATATCCCCAGCATGATAAGACTGACCACTAAAACAGTTCATTGTTAGTTACTGCTTTAATTACTGTATTTACTACTGACACTAACCTCTATCGAGGAAGAGACAATATTAGGTTACTGGCTTTGATATGTCGTTATCGGTTCGTTTGGCAGGCTACTGAGTTGGATAAATTAATTTGTAGTTGTTGGATAAATATCCTATTAAAAATAATAGAAGAACATAAGTTAAATACATAATATGTTCATTGCAAACTACTGAGTCAGCGCGCCAAAACGTTTCTATAACTATGTCAATTTGTGTCCCTATTTTTTAAGCTTCTGACAGACAGGTAATATTTTATATACATATAGGCAATATTCCGCCATACTAGTTGCTACATGATACTTATGGAGTACAGGATCAAACCTATGCGTTTTTTTCACTAACTTGCCACTACGAGTAAACACTCCTCCTGGTCGTCTGTGCTTTTTGAGATGGTGTGTCAGCAATAGAGCAATTTAAATTATGCGAGTGTGACATACTACTTGTACTGGATCTAGGACGATCTTCAGTTGTTGTAGAAGGAGCGGATGTATTGGGTTAATTTTTTTTTTATTAGTAATGCCTATTTCTTCGGTAATCGACACCATCAAGGGTGCGAAACTTGGCATTGGACCTTTTTCAGTGACCAAAGCAGGTTCCCAAAATGAGTTTGCAGTCTTTTTATACATGACATTGTTTCCTACATTTATATCTGACAAATTTCTGGCATGTTGATCATGATAATTTTTCATCTCATTCACCTTCTCTCTAACAAAATTATTGTATTAAACATAATCATAACTTTTGGCTTAAGAACGCTTTCTGTAACTGGTATGTGGTAACTTCATTCTCAAATAATATGACATAAAAAGCTGAGCAGGAGAATATCCGCTAGCTTGGGTCCTGTTTCTGTTCTGGAGAATGGCAATATATGGATCAGTATTTGACTCACGACATTTGTAAAACAAACTCTTCACAGTAGCAACAGTTCTTTCCACTAAACCATTACTGTTAGCATAATTAGGACAAGACGTATGGTGAATTATATCCCATAACAGAACAAAGTTTTTGAATTCTCGCGAGTTATCATTAGGACCATTATCAGATATTATTATGGCTGGGATGCCATGAAGAACAAATATTGACTTCGGACTTATAATGACTTTGATAGAACTAACCGATGTTACTTCAAAAAAGAAAAATAATCAACAACCAAGAGATACGTGACTTTATTATAGAAAAAGAAATCCATTCTGACCTTTTGTCATAGCAAAATTAAAAGTTGATGTGGTAGAAAAGGCTCTGATGGATTGGAATTACGAAACTTCAAGCATGATGTGCACTGTTCTACTCTATTTTTAATATCAACAGTGATATTAGGCCAAAACACAACTACACGTGCCTGCTATAAACACCTATCTATCCCTAAATGTCCTTCATGGATTATGTCTAAAATTTGGCTAAGCATTGCTGTTTTAGGCATGACAAGAAGATTTTTTTAAAAAACTAAACCATCAATTGGGGGTAACTCATGCCTATAGTTGAAATAGGGCTTAATCGGAGATACAACATTGTTCGTAGAAATTGGCCAGGAATCCTGACATTACTGTGTAATGGTTTGCGATTATGAATCTGTACAAGTTGCGGCTCTTATTTGCTGTAATTTCTCAGGAGAAACGGCCAAATTACTGACTAATAAGTTCATGTGATTACGTAGCTCCTCTTCCATAGAATCATCTTTCGGCTGGTGGCTCTACTTAAAGTATCGGCAATGTATAGAAGTTTTCCTCGAAAATAAGATACATTGAGATCATACTGCTGTAAATTCAGCATCGCTCTGTGAAGACGAGTGGGGACTTCTGAAAGAGGTTTTTTTTTTAAATAATGTGACTAATGGTTTATGATATGTTTCAACATTAACTGTGCGACCATACCTTATATTGCGCTGACTGGTTTGTGATTTCTATGGAAACAGACCTTAGGTAAGTAGAGCGAATTTCATTGGTTGAAAATAATCAGAAAACTGGTTGCTGATGATTTGCACCAATCAAAGACGCTGTGACTGGTTTGTGACTTCTGTGAAATCAGGCATGCAGACCTTCGATCGGTGTGGCTCTGATTATTGGCAAATAGAGTCGTCCTGTCTTTAATCAACTCAACAGAAGGGTATGCGCAAAAGTCGATTGCTTATGCTGGACAAGGGCGGCGTCGTTTTAATTGATCCCCCTCGACTAGACTCATCGACTTTACTAATTACATTAGGGAAATCATTCTATGTAACTTCTATCACTTTTCAATCTATTATTCAAATATAGCATCATCTTCGCTTTCTAAATCACTTGCTCTCATATAAATCTTGAAATGTGGCAGCCGACTTACCCAATTACTGGGTAAATTACCCTCTAGGCTTAATGATGACAGACTATTTCCACTAAATTTTGACCAGGGTTTCTGTGCCATATCTGCGTTTCCAAACAGCACGGAACGATGCTCATAACTGTCAAAAATCGGAGCTTGAGCCAAGCACCCGACTATGAATACCGGGCTTAGTGTCTTCAAAATAAGTTGCTACATGGTACTTATGGAGTTATACAACAATACTTAACTAATTTAAATGCATTAGAGTTTGGTTATGCATACTTGTTATTGATGACCAACTTTTGCGTTACAACGTACTGATTTCGAGGCTGCTATTGTCCAAATATAGCGAATCTGCTCATAATGAACTTTCTGATAAAAATAGCCTTCAAAATGAGACAAAGATGATGCTCTTTTGGACTTACGTTTATGTAACAGTATTAATATCAACAAGTCATCAAGTCATTATTAGTGAAAATCAAATACAGATTATTTTGGTCTAAGGTGCGCCCCAAAGATACTGTAGCATTCGTTAGAATAAGTACAGACAATGGACCGAAAATGGTTCGTTCCACTAGCCTGGAGTCAGGCTGGAGTGACATTCATACCAAAGACAGGACGCCGGCCAGAGAATGGACTAAAATCCTATTAGCTTAACATCCTTTCTTCTCGAATCCATGGAGAAAGCAACAGAAGCAAAATTCTAAATAGCAGACCGCTTCATCCAAGACAATTTGCCTACCATGCAGACAAATCTACAACAAGTGCACTCCATTGTCTTGTAACACACCTAGAGAAGGCACTTCAGGTAAACAAAATCGCTCTTACAGCTTTTATAGATATAGAGGTTGCCTTTGATATCACCTCACACCGATCTATCAAACAAGCACTTGAGGATAGAGGGGTACAATATTCTATTATAGGATGCACAGAAGTCATTTTTAAACATCAATCAGTATCGGCGGACTTGAACGGCGAAACAGGTACTGTCACCAAGGTTTAACGCTGCCCACAGGTGGTGTTCTTCCGCCTCTTTTGTAGACAATAGTGGTAAATAGCATCCTTACCAGACTAAGTATTGTCGGAATAACTCTCCTAAGCTACGCAGATCATCTGGCGGTAATAGTGAACATCATTACAGCGGCTGTCAAGCCCTCTCTGCATATCATATTTAATGGCTCACTCAAATTTGGCCACTTTCCAGAATACTGAAAGTCCAGTTATGTAGTACCCATTCATAAATCCGGGGACACTTCTATTATAAAACACTACAGACCCATTAGCATTTTGAGTGCAATACCCAAACTGTATGAAAAACTTGTATCCAAATATATGACAGCTGTTTTATCTCCTTTAATTATTAATGAAAATTTTGGATTTTGCGCAGGTCGCAATGCTGAACTGAATTTCTTATCACACACAACAACTCTCGAACTATCACAAGACAAACTTAAATTATGGGGAATCTCTGAACCAATGCTCGGGCAGATCGAGGGCGACATAACTGGCCGTGGACGCCATATTATCAAAGTGAATAACTTTCTGTCGGATAAAATACAGGTTTCTCCATCAGGGGTTGACCCACCTTGCCCCACTTATCTTCAACACCTTTGTTAATGATGCTGCCTCGTGGTTCAAATCTACTTTTTCTTTATTTTTTGCTGATGACGTAAGGTCATCCAAAATAATTTCGAATTCGGGAAACTGTTCAGATCTGCAGAGACATTTGAATAGGTTTGTGGAATGGTGTGACTCAAATGGGATGGAGCTTAATACCTCAAAGCGCAAACTGATGAAAAAGAAACATAACAACCCATAACTATACAATTAAGGGTGAAAT